CAGTGTACCTGCCCGTGCGGAGGGATTCCTCTCCTTTCCTTCTGCTTTTAAAAAACCTAGTTTAGATCCTGAATTACCCTGGCCTGCTTCAGAACTACTCAGCGCTCCAGGAATTAGATCCAGAGACAGCCAAGTCAAATGCCAAAGCAGTAAAGTGAGAAAATGCAGGATTTTCATCCTCTGGTCTTCCTCTGAATGCCACTAAAGAAAAAATCAGAAAAGGTTCCTCCAGTTTGGCAGAAGAAAACATGAAAGAAATTAAAAACCAAAGTTAGCAAAAATAGTTTTCGTTTGAGATTAAAACATTTCAAATATCGTTGTTCAATACTTGTATCCAGTCCCATAGTGGAAATGCTCATGTACTCAGATATGATCTCCCCTGACTTCAGTTAGCAGCTATAAAGAACTTGTTCTTGAAAAGAGAAAGTTTACCACCTCGTTTTCTTCTGTAAAACTGACTGAAAACTTGAAGGAGTCTTGTTTAAATCCAAGGGTTTTTTTTTTTTTTTCCAAGAAGGAAGAATGGCGTAATGCTGCCTCTGTGTTAAAAGGTTTTTTTAAAGTTTTGAGTTTTGAATCCTTTCCAGTGAAAATATTTCACACACAGAGGCCTGCAGGTGCTCAGAAATCTTTTACAAACCTGAACTCTGGAATTGGAAACGGAATTCCAACAAACCTATTTAATTACTCTCTGATGTCATGCTGTCTAAACTAATTTAACTGCGATATATTTCTTTAAAAAAATCTTCTTTACCCTTTTCATTAGCATGAGTCATACTCTGCTTCATGTGAAACAGCTCCACAGGCTCAAAACTCCAGAGGATGCCTTTTCAAGTGGCAGTATGACCTCTGCGTCAGCCCTCGATGAACTTCACGTTTAGACAGGATAAACTGCAAGATCAACAACTGAGACCTGTCACACAGTCCACTGGACACGTACATAAACTAATTTAGAAGTAATTMATGTCTCTCTTTTTCCAGAGAACTGTTACAGTGGCTTCACTTTGTCCCCCTGTGACTGAAGGGCTGCGTTGTAACGCAGGCGCTTAACAAGGGTAACATTTAATTTTACACAAACACAATAGGGCYATGCCCGCAGCCAGGGTATTTTCACTTATTTATTGCTGTGCTTAAAAAAGCCCGTGTCAGCCGGGCTGGAGAAGCAGCTCCTCTCGGAGGGAATGCCCCGCAGGGCGGGCGCGGTGCAGCGGGGTAGCAGTGCACCCTACAGGCGGCATCCTCATCCTCATCCTCATCCTCCTCCTCCTCCTCTCTCTCCTTCCTCTCCCTCTCCAGAGCCACTCGGGAGCCAGAGACAGGCTGAACCCCGTCCTTCCTCTGGAGACTGCTGAACACCAGCCTTTTTTTTAACATTAGAGGCAGAATGTCCAAGGGCCGCCGGCCCCGGGCCCCAAGAAGGCTGCAGATCGAAACAAGTGTTCCTCACGGTCACGGCTGTCCTGCGGCTCTTTGGCTGTCCAGAACAGAGTGTGGCCCAAGTGTGCCTTTCATAAGCTGCAAAAAATGAACTGTTGTTCTAAATGAGCCTTCGGGAAWAAAGGCACTGGGCTGGACTCAACAGGGATTACTGGGACCCGTCTCTCATCTTGCACTGATGCTAAACCCAGTCCTTTGCCTGCAGCTGCTTTTTCCTTCTGAGTTAAGAAAAAAGGAAAAGGTAGACCACCTTTTAGCCTCATCTATRTGTGCTGCACCATTCCCCACCCACCCTAACTCATATCAGAAGTGCCAAACTACTTTCAYAAATAACAAGCTGCATGATATGAGGAGCTCTGAATGCTTCACTGGTTTTGATGGAGGAACTGAAGGATAGAAGACTTCAGTGATTTCACAGATGTCACAAATCAGGTAGATTCAAATCATGATCCTCCTGATTTTGATTTAATGGCGCTTCCTCTGATGTCAGTTGTGCTTTTGATATTCCCTGACAGAATAAAGCAGCTTCTCCTGGGGGTTACCTCTGGTGAAACCATTCCCCAGCAGCCACTGCACACCAACTCATGGTCCTCCCAGCCATGCCATCATTTGCTCCTTCCCATGTATCCCACCTTTCTGCTGGGTGTTGTGCTCTGTCTGGTTCTATGCCATGGGCATATTGAGCAGCTTGCCAGTAAGCCACAAAAACAGCTAAATGYTGAGATTCCACTTTTAGTCTATCCAGCTTCCAGTTTTCACAATGCTTGTAAGAATGTAGTATCTTTAAAAAGTCGTTTGGTCTATCAAACTCGGTTGAGATTTGCAAACAGATGATTTAAGAGATGGACATGCAAGAGCAAAAGGTAGGACAATGTGATTACATGGGCCTTGTCTTAGTAGATCAGATTAAAAGCATGATCATTCACATGTTCAAAGAATATTTACGTGTCTGAGATTAAAATACCTGAGTGGGCTGGACAGAGTTAGACAGAAAGAAAAAGTAAAAGCAAGCAAAACAAGCTGTGCAAACTAATCTCTTCTTAAAAGAGGCTTTCTTGAAGCAAACTCCATCTCAGTGCTTGGAAACAYGGATGCTGTAGAGGGATGGATGCTGACCTCAAACAAGATCCACAGATTGCGGGTCCCTATGAACCTTACACCAAAGTGGAGTTATTCYGATGCCTGATGATTTTTGCCTTTCCTTTTTATGTACCCTTTTATATACTTTCATACCTTTTTAGACATTTCTGCACCCTTTACATATCCCTTGTGCCCCTTAGCCYGCATCTTGTAATTCCTGTAGCCTGATATTCCAGCTTAATTTAGGAGTTCTGCTGGGCAGASAGACCAGACATCCTGAGGAAGGAGTCAGYGTRCYCTGTGCTATCCCAAACATGAGGCTCCAGCCTTGGGTGAAGTCTTCTCTCTAAAAYATMTTGTATAAAYTGGGCTCTAGCCTCATTCCAGGGGAAATTYATTAGAACAGGGGGGCATTATTTCATTTGTTAAGTTTCTTATTAGGGAATCCTAAATAGATATGCCAAMATGTGAAGTCTATAAGAATTGTATCCATGTTATGCGTGGTGYGCATTTTGCCATCGAGTTGTGCAGCTGGRATCCCAAATACCAAGRGTAAAACCCTTTTTATCCCCTTAACCATGTCWGTGTCWTTATAGAAACTSGCCCATCAAGGCAACAATTCCAGCTGGCTAAACTCAGACTCCACTGGTATCTTCAGTATGGAGCTGGAAATCCTCGTGCTGGTGAGGCTTTGGATCAGACACAGGACATAGTGGAAGAGGTGTTCTGAGCCTCACACTGCTCACTACCAGCCAAATTTCTGTGCACCCTCGAGTGCCTGGGTTCATATGGCCCATCTGTCCCTCTTGGGCCGTTCTGTGACAGCACATTCTCCCTTACACAGACTGAGCAGGGATCTGAAAAGGGAGAGCCACCTGCTCYCTGCTCCTTGGAGGCATTGTCTGCTGTTCTCCAGATCCCAAGATTCTGCCTACACGAGCTGTGACACCTTCTCAGACAATCTCAGTGAGCCCTTCTGGGTGTCCAGCATGGTCTAGAGGAAGGGACCACTAGGGAGCCAGAGGAACATTTCATGGTGTTGAAAACATTGTCATTCCCTGAGGATAAATGGCTATATTGGACATGTGATGCCAAGAGTTAGAATTTGGTCTCTGCTGCACACTTGCAGTTAAAGCTGCACATGGAAATCTTTATTCTAACGATCTAGCAGGAATTTCATTGTCCTTTCCCAGATGAACTAATTTTTAGAAAGGACTTATAGGACTGAGTTAACTCTATATATTAGGCCATTTGGGGTCACATTGTTTTTGCTTATTAAAACTAATTAACATTCTATTTCTGTGAGGATTTAGACCTCTGCACCATAGTTTTTCAGGGACAGTTTTTAAAATTGTGAAGTTATAATTTTAGGAAGGAACTAAAYAGTTCTGTGCTTTTTAAAAAGAAATAATTACTCAAAACTTACAGATGTTATACTTAAAACAGGATAAAACAAACAAAATGATGTTTCCAATTCCATGTGAAATGGTGGCATAATTTTAAAACTCTGTACTACAATGTTGTGGTGTTAAATAAAAAATTGGAAGTCTAAAACAATAATTGTGTCATTGGTTATCAAGAAACGTGGCTACATTTGCGAACAGTAGTGAACTACAAAGCACAGAACCATAGAATCATGGAATGTCCYGAGTGGGAGTATTATTTTTSTTTCTTGGAWCCACAGATGTACCTAATTCCCCCARCWCWGAATTAAGTGGAAATTACTTTTTTTTCCTACTTTTTGTTACCTCTGCCTATTACCAATCAGAGAAAGACGGGGTTTATTTCAAACTTCTTGAAGTCTATTTTCTTAGAGAGTCCCTCTATTTGGTATACTATGTTAATTAGCCAGAGGTGCCGCCTACAGGTGGCGTTCGTCTGTACGATACAAACACGTTTAAAYGATTCAAGATTCGGGAGAAATTCAGTGATTCTCTTTCCTAAGCCAAATTTACTGAGCTGACCAAAGAGGATTTTGGTGGCAATTCATTTGTTCTAACTCTTTAAAAACCAGAATGTCGGTGATGAAGCATTGTCACAGGAAAARGCAGGGASTRAAAACAAGTCWGTGTTATTCAGCAGCAAAATAGAAAATGAAACGTATTTTTAGCAATGACCTTAACTAACTCTCAGAACAATTCCCGATGAAACGCGAGGAGTTCCATATCACTGTTTTTTCCTAATTACACTCCCTGGCGGCGCAGCGGAGCGGAAGCGCCATGAGCGGGCAGCGCTGGCCGCGCCACGGGAAAGGCCCCGCCGCCCCTCATGGAGCCTGCGCTGCCTCCGGGGGCCGGGGAGCCGGGGGAGCCGAGAGAGCCGCCCCTCACGGAGCCCGCGCTGGAGCCGGGGGACCCGCCCCTCACGGAGCCCGCGCTGCCTCTGGCGGGCCGGGGGGACCGCTCCGCCCGTGGCCAGCGGGGCGGGACCCTCGGGGCGGGCGGGGCAGGGCTCCGGGCGGAGCGGTCGGGCCGGGCCGGGCCATGGCGGGCAGCGCGGGGGACGGGGAGAGCAGCCCAGGCTCGCTGCGGCGGCGGCTGCGGAGCGCGGAGGAGGCGCAGCAGCGCCAGGCGAGGCTGGTGCGGCAGCTGCAGGACGAGGTGAGGGGCGGGCGGTGCCCGGCGGCGGGGAGGGAGTGCCGGGGCCGCCCGCGCTGCCTGCGGAGCTCGGCGGAACCCGCGGGGCCTCCCCGGGCGGGCGGCGCCGAGCTCGGGATGGGGAGGCCCCGGCASCGCCCGTCCCGCACCGGCCCCTCCTGAGCTCGGTGCCCGCAGCATCGCCGCTCTTCCTCCTCAATAGCAGGGTTTGTCCCGGGCAGCAGTCGGTTTGCTTGCCAGGCAAGTCTGAAAGCTCATTTGGGTCGCTTCAGGGATCGCCTTGAAACATTGGTTCGGGGTACGTGGGGCCGTAGGTCAGGCGGAGCTGCCTGCACCTGTCCCGTCGTTCTGCTTGCTGTCGCTATCTCAGGTGAGCAGACAGCGCTACGTGTGAAAGAAACTCCGCCTCAATCTCTGTCATGTTGAAGTGAAGCTTCCCTGTATTGCAGCGATTTCTTGTTGAGTGTATCAGCATCACTGTGTTTGGGCTATACAGACTCAGAAGTTAATGCAAGAGGAGCAGAGTCTATTACAAGTTGCTTCCCTCATCTTCATTCTCTGTATCCATTCAGGTACTGCAGTACCAGACCTGGTGTCGAGAGTTGGAGCAGCAAGTGAGAGCTGGAGGGGTGAGTGCGCAGGCTGTGAACTAAAGAGAGTGTATCTAATGTTCCCAAATGCAGACCAATGAAAACCCTCCACAAATGAGGTCGTTCCTTCCCAATGTCAGGAAAGCAGATTTTTACTGTCTGAGGGTTTAGAGAAGCACTGTGAGTTTTCCCATCAGTGTTTTATCCAGGTGCCATTCTTAGAGCAGTCACTAGTCCCAGAAATGCCAGTCCAGAAAACTCAGCTGAGGATTTTAATTTTGTGAAAGAGTGCTTTATTGGTGTTACATTTGTCTTGGGTCTTATGAGAGGACTGTGCTGTGTGTTACATGGCACAGCTGTCCTGGAGAAAGAACCAGTTGAAACAGCATTCTGGAAGGCAGGAAGGCTTGTGTTCAATATCTGGAACTGGCTCTATGCTTTTCTGCTTCATGGCTAAAGTAAACCTAGAAATCAGAGAGTGGGAGAATAGGAGAGCATTCCCAGGCTTCCAGTCAAAGCCAGCACTTGAAGTTGTGAATTGAGGATACATAGCACTGGGAGAGTGAGGAGRGGTACACTGAGTAATACCCCTTCTTTCCTTCCTGTATTCACAACACTGTTACACCTGGAAGAAGCTGTGAGCTCCTGAGATATCCAACAAATTGATGGGAAAATGGTGGATGCTGACAGTTGTGAAGGAAGCACCAGCATCTGACTAAACATTTCCTTTCTTCTTAAAGGGATCCTTTCCCGGCAGGTGGGAAACCATAGCAGACCACAGCCTGGAGAACGCACTGCTTCAGGTGGAAGAGGAGCAGCAAAGGTACAAGGAAGAAACATTTCTTCATACTTGGTATCTTGGATGCTCATGGAAGTGAGGGAAAACCTGTCGGTGCTACCTGGTCTCCCCAAGGGAAGCGGTTGGGCAAGCTGCTTTGACAGGAGAAAGGTCCAGTCTGCTTTCTGTGGTGCAGTAATAGTGCTGAATGGCTCTGCTTTGAGAGGGGAGRTGGTGTGTGTATTCCAGTTGAAAGGCCATTTCCAGCCTAAATTATTCTCTGCTTTGGTAGATKAATGACTTGGGACAGTGCTAGAGAAAGGTGATATATCCAATGACCATCAGGATGAAGGGAGGCCAAGTTTTTACCTGTGGGTATTGTCAAGGTTGAAAGGGAAACCAAAATCATAGATGGAAATTGGAGGCTCAATGCACAGAGAAGCAAATGAGGTTCTTATCACAGAGGGATCTTAGTTAACCCTAGGAAAGTGCCTTTACTTTTTCTCAGGCAGCAAAGTCAGTGTTGAGGGAACTGGAAAATCAGGGATGCTGGAGAGCTGTTGTTCAGTGAGCTCATTGCTACTTCTCTTTCTAAAAGGCGTGAGAATCTGGCAGAAGTGAACACTCTCCTACGAGAGCACCTCGATAAAGCCAGTGAGGTTAATTCTGCCCTCAAAGAAGATGTTGGAAAACTGACGGCGGATTGGATGAGGGCCCGGGAGGAGCTGGAGYTGAAGGAGAGTGAATGGCGCAGTGAACGTGAGGTGAGGAATGACATGAGAATGCCAGCCTTGATGCCAGAGGGGAATAGGAATGCGTTTTGTTCCTGGCATGGAAAACTTGCTGTGTGGGAGCTGTGGCTCTGCTGAGGATGTGTTGGTGCTGGGCAGGGGTGTGGGAGGGAGGAGTGTCAGCAGATGGTGCTGGGGAGAGATGCCCACCTGCTGTGACTGCACTGCTCTGTTGTGAAGGCAGAGCTGGGCACTGTAGAGCAGTCACAGGAAYCCTTGTCTCTTTATTAGCTCCTAAATCCTTGTGTTGAGCAATGGAGACCAGAGAGGTCTGTGTGTGTTCAGATCCAAAGCRGCCAACAGAGAAACAAGACAGGCTTACTGTACTGACTGCCTGTTAGCCAGCCTGACATTGGGCTTGGAGTTTGTTGAGTTTGTCTTCCTCTGCTGMGACTGAGACACCTCTGCAAGGCAAGGTGATTAGTCATGATCAGCTTGCCTTGCTGCTACCCTCTGCTACAGGAGAGGTGTGGATGTTCCCTCCTTGGCAGGTGCTGTGGGCTTCTATGGTACCTCTTCAGTCCTTGATGCTCCTGGTGCAGTAGTTATTTAAGGGCACCTGGTGATGGTTTACTTTTTCCTATCTGAGCAAGCTGCATGACAGTGAAGGTTGAATTGGCATTTCTTTTTGTCTTTGCATGTTTAGCTTTATGACAGCTATGTAAGGGGGGAACATAACCGTCTGCTCAGCCTGTGGCGTCAGGTGGTGACCTTCCGCCGCCACTTCCTGGAGATGAAGACTGCCACAGACCGGTGAGTGGAAATTAAGGCAAGATCTCCTGCAGAAAAAATGGCTTGCCTGCTTTTAGGTCCTGCTTTTTGAGTATTGATATTGCATTAGTTACAGCAAGAGGTAGGATTTCTCCTTTGGCAGTCAGAAGCAATGTCATTCAGCATGCTTTGGGCTGTTCTGAGAAGAGCTGTTCGCTCCTCATCCTGAGATAAAGTTGAAGGGCCTTGCCCATGAGGACTGCCCAGGCCCTGACTGTGGTGATGTGTAGGCATATGACCATAGGCACAGGAATGTCACTGAAGCTGTGCATGCAGCATAGAAAGTGATCCCTTGAATAAAATTATGAAAACCTGCCTTTAAAAAATCTTACCAGGTTTCTTTTTCCACTGCTCCTAAGAGAAAGATCATTAATGCATATTTTTCCCATTTTCATTTCCAGCATACATTTATTCCGGTCAGTTTGTATTCACTTACTCCTGTTCCAGCATTGCTGAGAGAAAGAACAGCCTCTCTGCCCTGTTACTGCATTTTTCCAATTTATTTTGTTTAGTCTGMTACCTCTTTTTATGATTGTTTTCTTGTTCTTGGGCTCTCTGAGGTTCCTTTCTCCCAGTTTCTTTCTACACCAAGAAAAATAGTGTAGCCATAATAGTACCTTCTTCTGGTGTCAGCATGCAATTTCAAACTCTAGGTTACTGTCAGCYATTTGTCTTATTTAGTTGTAAGTCTTCTGTATTGTGTGGAGTGCCTGACCTGCTATTTAGTCCTTGTGTTGTTTGTGCTTTTAYGTTACAGCATTTCAGGCTGGTTCTTACACCACCTTCCTGAAATGTTYTATTATGTAGGGATGGTCTTGAGCCTGTTAGCAGTCGAGGTGGGCACTTAAAGGGTGCAATCCCTTTGTATAAAAACTGGATACCTTGGTAAAATTCCTGACATCTATTAATGATAATTAGAGTATGTTAATAAGAGTAATTAAAGGTGCTTGAGGCCTTCTGGCCTGTGCCATATCTTAATTCTTGTATCTGAGGAGAAAACAGACTCCTCCCTTGACTACCTGGTAAAGTAATTGCTCAGCTGTCAAGATGTGTCCTAGTCCCCAAGTGTCAGATAAAATGACTTGTCCCCAGCAAAGATGTCACCTTGCCTGCCAGCTCTTCCTGATGGATGATTGCATGCTTCGCAAGTAAGTCAGCTGATAAAGATGGTGGAGTGAACATTGGCTCTTTCTTGGTTCATCTTCAGAGATTTGTCAGAGCTCAAGGCRGAACAAATGAGGCTTTCTGGATCTATTCTTGTGAGCTGCTCCCACCTGAACTCCTGTGTGCAGCTCAGGGAGTCCATCACTCTGGGTAAACCTGTCCTGAAGGATCAGGCAGAGCAGCAAGTGGAACCAAAAATAGATCAGACAGCTCAACAAGTGACAGCCTTACAAGTCAGGTGGGACATGGAGAAGAAAGAGCTTCAGGACAGGTAAAGRTGTTTTAACTTTGCTGTTAGCAATACTAGCTTTTGTGGCAGCTTTCTGGATTCACAGATYGGCTGTGCTCACATTTATAACATACCCATTCTGCACAGCCCTGTTTGTGTCCTCAGTCAAACTCTTGCCTTCAGCAGAAAGGATGGAAGAAAATATCTGTCTGACAGAAATTCTTCTGTCATGGAGTACGACATGTAAGACAAGACTGGGAAAGAGATGGCCCCCTGACAGTGCTTTTGCTGTTAACYGATTCTTGGTGAAAAACTGAGTCCAGCATAAAGAGAGATGTGTTTCTTGTACAGCCCTTTTACTGCTCAGGGCTGTGCCAAAGGAATTGGGAGGATTTTGCCCAGGGCCGTCATAAGCACTGTGGCACCTCTGTGTTGACAATTCCTTGCAAGACTGAGTACAGAGGCCTTGGGGGAAAGAAGTGCCATTTTGCAACATCAAGCCTATTAATCTGTAGAGATGAATGCTGCCTTTGCTGTGTTTCCGGGATTGAACTTTTCTCTGCTATGCTTTGGGAAGCTGCTTGGCTCTTTTAACAGGTGCTGGTGTGCAAAGCTTTTGGAATGGCACGTAGACATTCTCTTCTCAGGGTGATGGAACTCTCAGCCTTGCTTGTACAATCTCAGAAGCAGAACGAGGAGAAGGAGAAGACCATGAAAACACTTAACGACACAGTGGAGATTCTAGTATGTTTTATCTTTACCTGGGAGATAGCCCAGTGTTTGCTCTCCAGCCTGAACACAGAGGTGTGGCTTCCTCAAGAGAAACAGTGGTAAAGATGCCCAGTGGATGGGAACATCAGGAACCTTGCCAAAATATTCCTTGTGTGTTTGACAGATGTGGAGTGAGTCCAGGTGCAGGCAGTGGCAGAGGAACTGCAGACAGTTCAGGTGTTTTCCTCTGAGGGGTGGCACTAATGCACTTCTGCCTGGGACTTTAGATCTCTAGGGATCAGAGTTCCTTGGAACTGACAGTTTAATAGCAGTCCATAAACACTAGCTCTTGGTCTTCTTAGTTTTAGGAAAGAAGAAATGGAATAGATATAGGCAGGAATATACTGGAATCACTAGAGCTGAGACTTCCCGGTGTGACAGTGTTACTGAGGATGGGAACGCTGCAGGTGGGAGCASCTCTTCCCTGCCCACCCTTTATTTATTCTGTTCTCAGGAATCAAGTTGGATAGAGAAAGAATTTGCAGCTTCATTGACTAACAGTGCCAAAGAAGAGAATCTTTTCCTTCAAAAGCTCATTAAAAATATCACTGAGGTGAGTAGAGAGTTGGTACAGGGACCACAYCCCTGTAAATTTGATTTTGAAAGTAGTTGAGGAAGGCAACAGACTGGTCCAGGGACTAGAGATGTTGTGTACTATCTGTGTTAACTGCCATTGCCTGTTTAATTTTTAGACCACTTTTYTGACACAGAACCTGTTCTAGCTTGTGAGCTACTGTCCTGTGACAATTCAGCTGAGTCACCAGAAGTTTYGGTACCTTTGCCTTCCCTACCCCACTAAGATCTCTCTTGGACTGTGTTTTCTGAGTGTGCTACCTGACATTTGTATTCCAGTGTTTCTTGGGCAATTCCCTCACCCTCTTTGAGCAATGACTCTGGYGTTCTTCAGATCTCTATGAAAGATCACTGACTTGGTCAGTGCACTTACCAACTCTGCTCCTTCCCTCTGTGTTCCGTGACCATTATGATCTCCCCAGAATCACAACTTTCAAGGGTAACCTTAGCTTAGTCCTAAAGTTATCTTAAYAGTGAAGGGTTGAATTGTCAGCTCTTCTACACAGCTGCAAGAAAATGAGTGTTCAGGCAGCCTCCAGCCACTTCACTCTTATGAAGAACAGCTGTATTCAGAAATCCCTGRAGTACTTATAGCCACAGGGACAAACCTTCTTTGTGGACTGTAAAAATGAGAGAATTGAGTTTTCAATGACTCKGGGGTAAAGTGGGAGGAGAAAGAGAACAAGATAAAGAAATATAAGTAAGATGAGCAAAAAGTAATAKCTGGATGTGGGCTTTCAGATGGTGTTAGACGACAGTGACAGCATGGTCAGCATTATCTGCACTGACAGTTCCCTGGCAGACTCTGGGGACATCTTCTCAGCTCGGAGATCTGTTGATACGAGGCATGCCTTTGGATTGGTTCTGGAAGCACTGGCAAGGATGCGAGGGGCAGCACGGGTGAGAGCTTCTGCTTGTCATCCACAGTGGCCCCAGGCTCAGTTCTGAGGCCTCGCTCAGCTYGACACCTTTCCATTTTCTCAGCCACTTGAGGTGCTTTTTCTGGCCTTCATACTCRTGATCCTGCACTGCCTTGCTGGTCTCCCCAGCTCTGTGTTCCACTGCTTTTTTCTCCTTGTGCACTCCCTCAGCACAGGTTTTGCCTTCTGGGGAGCTCTTTCTGCTAGCTGCTTCTCCCAGCTGTCTGGAGCCACCTTCCCTGCTCCTTATTGCTCATTTGTGTTCTTCCCCTGCCTGTTCCTGCAGGCCCTGAGAGAAGAGCTTTCTGCTAGGCAGGACTCAAACAATTTCCTGCTGCAGCACCAAAGACATCAGGAAGAGAAGTGCAGAGAAGTGCAGCAAAGGCTTGAGCAACTGGAGGAGAAATGYAAGAAATCCAGCAGCCACCAACAGCACCTTCAGTCTTTAGTAAAAACCCTCAGAAGGTGAGTGTTTCCTCCTTCTCCTGTGTTCCAGGAGCAATCTGCTTCCAGGTCTGGCAGTTCAGAGGGGTTCTGGGTGAAGAACTTACCTGCCTTACCATGTGTAGGCTTCAGTGTGGCTCTCACGCTTCATCTTGTCAGGACTTTTCACGCTCTACTGTGACTCTCAAGGCTCTCTGGGAGATGCATAGTGATGTTAGAGTAGAAGAGTCCTCCTTCTCACCGTGCTGCTCCCCTGAATTCTGTTCTTTGGGTGCCCCTTCCCAGCCACTGCTTCTCACTGAAGGAAGGCAAAACCCTGCCTTCCTTTCCATTTGCCTCTGGAGGACTTTGCGGGGAGGGAAAGAGCAAGGTGTTCATTAGCCTGCTGTCCCCAGCTCCATCCTGGAATGCTGAAAATGGGATTGGTGACTCTTCAGGCCTCTTCATTCTTCTATCTGAACTTTGTCTCTGCAGTGACTGTGAAAATCTCGAGAAAACTAGAGAAGAGCTACAGCAACAGCTTGGAATAATGGAGCAAGAAGCCTCATGTCTGCGTCAGAGTAATGCTGAGCTGCTGCTGAAGGAAGAGTCAGCCCAGGCAGAAAAGGCAGAGCAGCAGGAGAGGATGGAGAGAGTGTGCCGTGAGCAGGAGCTCCTGTGAGTGTTAAAGCTTTCCCTGGGCACTGCTGGGCTTGAGGAGACCCAATTTAAAGGAACAAATGGTGCCTCCTCCTCTCTTGTAGCATAGACTGTATTTCTATAAAAGCCTTCTCTTTCCCCTCTTCACAGAATGAAGGATTTGGCTGCACTTGAGGAAAAACACTCATCATTGCAGCGTGAATTGGTAGTTAAGAGGCAGGCACTAGAGAAATTGCAGCTTCAGAAGGATCTGCTGGAGCAAGAGAAGGATGAATTTGCCATGGCTCTGGAGAAGGTATGGACACGTTATTCCTAGGCAGCACTTGTGCGAGAGGGAGTTGTGCCAGCAAGATCACCTCAGATACTGTTTTGGGCAGTAGAAGACRGGGACACTGTTCTTCTTGGRGAATGGTGATCCAACCAGACARGCTCTTTAGGGTCATTGGTCCCCAYGAGCTTATTGGGAGCTCTRTCCTGRGAGTAAGTCCAAGACACCCYRGGGAAGTGGAATTGCTTCCTGCAGTCTGAGATGTTGCTGCCCTTGTCCCATTGTTCTTTTTCCTCTCCAGGCAGAGCGGTCGGTGGCAGAGCTGACAGGGGCTCAGAACAAGCTGAAYGCTGAAAGAGCTGATCTACAGGCTGCAGCAGCGAAGATGAGCAGCATCAATGAAGCTCTTGCATTGGACAAAGTGCAGCTGAACAAACATGTGTGGCAGGTGAGCAGAGTTGCCAGAGATGTTGCCGGGTGTTCCAGCTGCTGCTGCTTCTCAGCCTTTGTCCTTGGGACAGGCTGACTGACTGACTGTGGCAGTGTTCCTTTTGTGTCTCAGCCAATCTTTTATAATAATTCGTCCTGTACTTTATTTCCTCTATGCTTCTGTGACTGTAGCTGGAGCAAGAGAAGGAAGTTTTGTCTGCTAAAGTGGATGAGATGGAGCGAGCAAAGATCTCTGAGCAGGAGAAGCTGAACTTGTGTGAAAGAGCCAATGAAGAGCTCTGCACAGAGAAAGCCCGGCTAAAGAAGCTGCTGAAGGAAGCTGAGGAGCAACGGGAGGAGCTGTGCATGGAGCTGAGGACACTGGGAGAGGAGAAAGCAGAAACCCAGGAGAAATTGTGTCAGGTGAGGCCAAAAGTATGGTGCATCCATGTGGGCACTGGGCTGCTTGGATGAGGAAAGCTTTACCTGTTGGATTCTGCAGTGGTTTTGTCAAGGGACACATGGTAGTGCTAGAGGTCACAAGGCTTTGTATACTCCTTTTTGGAAATGTGTGGCTTGCAGAGCTGTTCCACAGTTCTCAGAGTCCTCTTCTTCTACAGAGTCTTTTAATCCACCTGTCTTTGCTGACCTTTTTTTTGGCTCTTGATAAGAAGCTAAGAGATGATTGTACTGTCAATAAATCTGAGTGAGTGGCAAAAGATGTGGCAGAAGAATCAAACTGTGCAGCTCTGAACCCTTTTTCTGAAACAAAAAAACAGGTCTCTGTGTTTCTGTTGATGCTTTTTGTCATGAAGCTGGAGTGTGTCCAGAGAAGGGAAC